CGGCTCCTTCCCCTCCAGGTCCGAGGCGAAGTCGGGACGGACGGACCTGATTTTCCTCATCCGGTTTCGGCACTGCTGCCTGCTCCGAAACCAGCGCTGCATCCTGGCCTACCTGTGAGTGCACGGGGGCACGGGCCTCTCGGGGCACGGAGTGTCAGTTCGCCGGCGCAGGGGCGCTGCCCCCGAAAGACAGGGTCCTCACGCGCTGCGTGCTGGGACGCCCGGACTAGGCGAGACGTTCCTCTGCGCGGTGCGGTTGGCAGGGCGGCCGCGGGGCTGTCTCTGCGTTCATACGGGTACCGCCAAATGCCAGCACAAAGAGGAGACCCCGTTTCCTCCTGCTCTTTTCAAGTTTTAATGAGTGGATAGGCCAAAAGTCGCATCCTTTAAAGGAAGGTGGGCAGAATGACCCAAGTTTTTGCTCTCTGCTTTGAGGGCTGTCTGGGACATCAGTGTTGCCAGGGGGTATTGCCAGCACTCACCTCAGCAAAGATGCTGGGTTTGCCCCTTGTTTCTTACCCCAGGTATGACCGGTTGCTGCGGATCCGAGCACTCAGGTGGGAGTATGGCAGCGTCCTGCCAAACACCGTCCAGTTTCACATGTCAGCTGAAGAAGTGAGTGAGCTTTCTCTTAAGCTCTTTCCCCTTATTTCTCCTATAGATTATCTATTTAGTAGAGCCAAAATACTTCCCCCACTATAAACATGACACTTAAGTTGCCTTTCTGTCAATACTGATTTGTTTATTCATTGTGTATGGGTACAGTCCCAAATGGGTACTGAGTGCAGGTGATGCTTGGCACTTATAAGAATCAGATGGTCATCATTAGATCAGACTCATAGCCAGCAGAACTACGCCTTCACGTGCTGCTCTCAAATGCTATCTCTAGACCAACGTACAGAGCTGCTGACATTTAGCAGCATGTGTCCTACACCGAATCCAGATTACTCTACCTCTGGGGCAGTTTTTCCCTTTAGAAGAGCTTGCGTTCACCTTTGGCTGGCATGAACACACTTGGGAACAGTGGTCTGACAGCACAAATAAACTAGATCTCACCCACCAGGGATCTGTCTTCCAGCAGTAGCTGTTCAGCTTTGCCTGAGGGACTGCTGTTAATATCCGCAGGTGGAGTGGTTCAATCGGTACAAAAAGTCTCTGGCTACCTACATGAGGTCAGTAGGAGGAGAGGAGGGCCTGGACCTTACACAGGACATAAAACCTCCTAAAAGCCTGTACATTGAAGTAAGTGCAAGATCAGCGGTTTCTGTCTGTGAACAAACATTTTGCCCAACCATCCTTCTTTTTTTAGAGAATTTCACCCTCATCCCAAGTCAGAAGGTCATTGAGCAAAGCCTTCGAGAGCACCAAAGCTTCCACAAGCTTCTACATTTTACTCTTTATGCTCTGCCTGCCAGCGTTTTACTCCCTCTTCCACTGAGGGCTCAAAGTATGCTGAAAGATGGCATTTCTAGTCCACAGGGAATTGGTGTGGTGGGGTGAGTGGTCTGAATCTCAGTGAGTTTTTGCAGGATTTTGCAGAAAATCAACTAGAAACCTTGTTCCTTGTTAAGGATTGTTAACTAGTTTTCTTTGTTGTTATTTTAAGTGGACTCTGATAGATAAGGCTATAACTCATTGTACAGAATTGATACAACAAAGCAACAGCATGTGAGAAGTCAGAGTCAGTAGCTGAAGCGCTCCGTTCTGATGTTCTCTTCAAAAGAACATGTAGTGACAATGAACCTGCTCCATAAAGACAGTTTCACTGTTAACAGATTGGCATTTTCTGGTATGTCTGTGGGGAGGTCCTGGAAATGCTGCCATTGTTCCCCAGACCCCATCTCGTGCTGCTCTTCCTCTAGTCTCTGTGGAGGGCTGGTCTGGCCTGCTCACTGGTGCTTCTTGCTCCAGGCAGAGGCAGGAAGAGAACATCAGGTTGAGTCTACAGACTGTGGGAACAGTCCAGTTCTGTGTTTCCAGGTCTGCTCTATATTGAGGCTCCAACAGGCGGGTAGGAATATGTCCATACTTAAAGTTCTGGGGCACGTGTTGTAAGTCAGCAGTGGTCTAGTGTTTTCTATGGGAGATCTGAGAGCTGCATTTCTGCTTTGCAGGTGCGGTGTTTAAGAGACTATGGAGAATTTGAGATTGATGATGGTACCACCATACTGTTGAAGAAGAACAGCCAGGTACCCATGACAAGAGAGTGTGGTCCATTCTCTTCCTTCCCTTTCACTCCCACGACATGCCCCTGCTTATCCCCAGCTTCGCAGCATGTCACAATTCCTGTACACACAGCTCCTTGCACATGCTGCAAGCTGTCTGCATGGCCCAGGACTGCAGTTCAGCTCTGCCTGATCTGGTACAATGTAGTAGGCATACAAGCACAACAGAGCTGGCTGTGTGCAGCAACAAATCCAGTCTGCCTGGGTTTCAAGGAAAGTTTGTCTGTGTTTCTGTGCAGCACTTTTTACCCCGCTGGAAATGCGAGCAGTTAATCAGACAAGGAGTCCTCGAGCACATTCTGTCGTAAGCGTGCAGGACAGGAGGGACAACCCTTGCTTGGTGGCCTGCCCACACTGGGGACTGAACTCTGGTGTGTGCAGGACTTCTGCCGTGGGCACCCTGCCACTCCTTTGTAATACCTGACATGAAGATCAGCCTTGAGTTTATGAAGTATGCAAACCACATTGGCCAGCTCTTCATGACCAAAGGGTGCATACTGGTAATGTAGCAATCCTGGGAATCCAGCATCTTGGGGGTAGCATTGGAGGGGGGTGGGGAGGGGGTGTTATCCAAGCCCCACAGCTACAAGCAGGTTTTGCAAATGCATTTTTGTTTGGAGCAGTTCTTTGTTCACACTGTGCATGTGGGAGTAAGAGACCAACCAGCTGGGCTCTGGAAGCCAGGAGAGCTCCATAGTTGCAAAATAAAGAACTGCTTCAGCCTTCAATTTAGTGTTTTTCAGGAGTTAACACTGTGTTTGTTCAACACTGACCTGGCTTTCTGACCCAACCCCTCTTGACCCTGCAGGGTGATGCTCAACTGGTTATTTAGGTGTCTCAGTGGAGGCTGCTCCTCCAAGTGTTGGATGAGGCTGTATGATCTTGTTTCTAGGATTAGACATGAAGCCTTGTGTCCCATGAGAGGCTTATAAATGTTGTTTCTTAAGGGGCTGAGTGAATGAGCAGTGCAGTCTGGGTCATGGGGCTGGCCAAGTTTTCTCCCAGCATGCTTGGGCTGTGCCTCTGTCCCTCTATGAAGAGTCTCCTTCCCCCAAGCTCTGGTCTGGCAGGGCTATTTGTGGAGTAGGGGTGGGAAAGGGAGCAGAGGGTTTTAAGGATTCCAGTTAGCACAAAACCACAGTGAGGCCGAAGAGCTGCTCCCCGTCTTGTTTTTCCTAATGGAGCTGCTCATTCTTGGAGTAGTGGCTGAGAGAGAACATTTCCAAAAACATAAGCCCTAGGTAAGACTAGAGGTTTGCCTAGCCCCCATGTCTGACAGGAGCCAAAAAGCAAATGGGGAAGAATATAGGAACAGGATAAATGCCTGGGGTGTTGCTGCATTGTCCCAGGCCCAGCCAAGTTAGCTCCCTGAGCTAGCTCACACCCTCTGGGGCTTTCCTCCTTGTAATAGCCCAGCTTCCCTCATGGCCCTTGTAATCAGGGCTGCCCCCAAGGCAAAGAAAGAGGAATCTCAGCTGTTATCCGCCAGGGCAGAAAAAGCACAACTAGACCAAGGAGGCCTCCTCAGTCACAGCCTCCAGCTACCTCTTGCAAGCTCTCCGGCTCTGGCTTTCCAGCCATAACAGGATGGCCCCAACAGACAGGGAGCATCCACACCACCACGAAACACGCTGCCAGAGTGCGGGCAGGTCCTGTAAGATGGCTGCCCTGAGACAGACCTGACATAGAACAGCATGCTCTGCCACTGAGAAAGGCACCAAAGCTGGTGCTTTCAGTAGGAAAATTCAGCTATCCATAGGAACAATTTCCTTCAAGGACTCAGTCTGGTTTCTCCATTTTCTACCTTCTACCCAGGAAAATCCTGGCAAGACCGGGGAGGATAAGGCTGATTTCCCAACCCAGCCATACCTCCCCTCTTGCACCTGACAAACCCCAGCCAAGACCAGGGGCAGGGCTGCCACAGCAGGTGCCCCATCACCCACTCAGAGATGCCGGTGTGATTTTTCCGATGAGCTGCTTCAGAGCCACAGCTTGCTCCTCCAACAGTTGGTTCTTTTCCTCAGTGCTCTTCTGCTTCAGCTCAGCAGCCTGCAGGGCCATTGCAAACCCTCTCTTCTCCTCACAGAGGTCCTCAATCAGCAGTTTGTTCCTGGAGAGTTGGGCCTACAGCATAGACAAGGGGCTTAAGGTTCAGCATCCCCATGCAGGAGTCCCAGCCAGGCAGGGACATTCAGCAGTAACCCCTCTTGCACTCACCTCGGCATCTTTGAGCTGAGCCGCCCTCTCTGCCAGCACAGCTTCAGCACTCCTCAGACTGTGTTCCAGCCCCTCTGCCTGCTCCATAGCTGCCTGCAGTAGATGCTTGTGTTCCTCCTGGAAGGCAACAAAGCCTAACGTTGGGTTGTTCCAGCACTCACCTTGCCCATGGCAACCCTAGACCATACATTTCCCTAGGGCCCTGCTCAGAGACCTTCACACTCCATGAAGGAGAGCATAGGGGGGATCAGCAGAGGTGATGCAGCATGCAAAGAGCGGTGGGACAAGTGTCTAGGGCAGTACAACCTTCCCTACGTCAGCACCAACTGGTTTTAAGATACGGCACAGATTTCCCAGAAATGTTTTCTATAAAAACAAGCTAATGGGCTCCCTCAGCCATGTCCAGAAAAGCCTTGGGAGAGTTATCCTTGGATGCAGTTTTTGTGTCTCCTCCTTTTAATTCCTTATGTTATAATTTGCCCCATCTTTGCCCAGATTCAACTGAATCACAGCGTCCTGAAACAAAGGACAAACTCACAAAAAGCCAACACCTTGTTGCCCAGTGCCCTAGAAATAAAACCATCTTGCTCTGTGCAGGCTACATCTCCATGCAGATGGCTCAAACCTTCTTTTCCCAGTCTGAGCCAACACAGAGTGTCTCCCTGGAAAACTCCTGCTCCTCTAGGCACAAGGTATCTGGTCTAGGGCAGGTAGATTCGAGTGGGGAGGGCTCCTGTTTGAGTGCAGGGCAGTGACTGGGTTCATAAGGAATGAAAATTGCAGCTGAATTTGAAGTGTATTTTCCATGTGAGCCTTTGATACACAGTATCTTACACGCAAGCCTCTGGTGGCTTTGACCACAGCTGCCTTCCAGGCTAGCAGTGCTGCATCCCCAGTACCCTTGACTGAGTTCCCGCAATTCCTTGCTTACCTGGGTCCTGACCAGCTGCCTGCCTGTCTGCTCAGCCTGCAGGTGGAGGTTTTCCTGGAGCTGCTGAGCCTTGCACTGTTCCTCTTTCAAGCTGGTTTTCAGCTGCTCAAACTGTTTCTTTGGCACCATGTTGTTCATCTGGGCCTTGGCCTGCTGCAACTGCAGAGCATGCCGAGTCCGGGCCAGGCTCAGGCTTGCTTTGGCTTCCAACAGCTGTAACAGAAAGGCCAATAGCTGGTTACAGCTTTGTGCCAGCAATGGGACAGGCCCAGGGTGTGCTGCAGGTGAGGGGAGAGGTTAAGAAGCACCCTCAGCCCCTGCCTCAGCTCTCACACCAGCATGGCCACAGCAGAGCAGCAGGATCATGGGAGTGGTGCTTGCTGGGCACCTTACAGAGCCAGGGATAGAGAGCACTGAGAGCTGCAGGAGGGGAAAGAGAGACCCATTGCTGAGAGATGTTTCCCTTGCTGAGCAGTGAGGAGCAGGAGTTGCTGGAGAGACCCTCTGGTAGGGAGTCCTAGCACCAAGGGCCACAACGGCAGGAAGCAGAGGGGGCTGCTCACCTGGGTTTGTTTCTAGCTACATCACAGGCAAGCTGGGCTTCAATTCCCGCCTGTACTACATGTCCTGTGCTTCCTGCCACCAGCAAAGGGCAAACCTGATACTGGCACGCAGGCCTGGCTGAGCTTTGCCCTAGGGCTACCTAGGGGTGGCTGGCATGAACAAGCTGTACTCTGGAAAGCCAATCCCTGAGCCTGTCCCCAGGATAGAAGACAGGAGAGGGATATTAACACATTTGGAGGTTTCTCACATCAGCTTTCCTCTGTCCTAGTGCTCCTTGTTCCCCTGCTCTGATGACCTCGTCTCCTTCCCCTCAGTCATGGCCTGCCTAGCCCCTACCTGATCCTGCTACTCCTCTAGCTCCTCTGTCAGCTGAGCCATAGGGAACCACAGCTCCTGGCACTCCAGTGTGAGCCACCTCCACTCAGCTTCAATCTATCTCCTCTGCCCAGCCAGCCTGCACAGGACAAGGACAGAGGGGATACCGCAAGGGCAGCTGCAAGCAAGGACCTGTCCCAAGCTGCACCTGAACTGGCTTCAGACATATCTGAGTGGGAGGGCAAGTCCTTTGTCTCCCACAAAGAGGAAGAGGACAGTCTTTTCTGCCTGGGGAAGGTTCCAATACAGCTCCAAGCAGGGCAATACCAACATCACAGGGACCACTCAGCAGCCTGCCACCAACTGAATGACACCCACCTTCTCCTGCAAGGCTTTGAGCTGCTCTTGGAGCAACTCCATCTCCATCCAACATGCTGCATGCAGCTGATGGTGCTCCAGCTTTATGGCTGTCTCCGCTCCTTGTAGCCACTCAGCCTCCACAAGCTTCTGGCTCCACAGCTGGACAGTGCCAGGGCCAGCACCATGGCCAGCCTCATGCTCAGTGAGTTCACGGCCCCGCTGACGCATCTTGACATTTAGGTGGGAGACCTCTCCCTTGCTCTTCTCACTCTGGAAAAGGTTGAGAAAAAAAAACAATTCATGCACAGAGGCTTGGGGTCGGAAGAGAGACTTAACCTGTCCCACATTTTCCCCTCTGGGTTCCCACCCAGGAACACCACTGTCACTGCAGGGCCTTGCAGGCACTCAGGGCAAGTGCCCTCATTTCCCAGCCTGACCAAAGCCCAGCAGCCAAGTTTAAGCACAGCATTCCCAGGTAAGAAAACCCACACAGATGATAGCCCTGGAGGAGGTCACTGGGGAAAGATGGGGGGGCAACTGTACAGAAATATTAAGATTAGTAAGAATGCAGTATGAATGGGAACATGTCTGTGTGCACATGTGAAAGTACCAGACAAAAGAGCAGAAGGGCTACAAGAACAGCCTGCATCAACACTAAAGGGCACCATCCCCCAGACATTGCTCCTAGGACACCATTCCCAGCACTAACGCTGAGCAAGGTGCAGTTTCTGGCCCATGCTCTGACCAAACCACAACACAGATAACATGTCAGCAGAAAGCCTGCATCTAACAGCAGGGCAGAAATACACCCCACATCCCATTCCTCTGCTAGCTTCCCAGGAAAATGCGCAACCAACACAGCTTTCCTTCAAAGGAGGAAAAGCAGACAATGGGCAGCAGGTTTGTGGCTGAAGGTTAACGGAAGCTGAAGCCAGCAAGGGCCAGCAAAGGCCATCCTGCTGCAGCTGATGGCCCCAAAAGAATACAAAAGACATGTCCAAAAAACAGGTTGTGGTTCCCGGTCATGAGGAAGCCCAGGAAGAGGGTTAGAAACTAACAGCCTGTAACCCTCATCC